GCATCCCTGCATCCCACAATCCCACAGTGGAACCCCATGGCACAGCACCCCTGCGTCCCACAGCATCCCTGCATCCCACAGCATCCCTGCATCCCACAGCATCCCTGCATCCCATGGCCCAGCATCCCAGCATCCCACAGCATCCCACAGCACAGCATCCCTGCACCCCCCCAGTGCCCCCCTGGCACACATCCCAGTGCCCCCAGTGTCCCTGCCATGGTATCCCTTTGGGGTCCCCTGTGCTCTCCCCAGCCCCACAGCCAGCCCGGCACAGAGAGAAAGAGGGGTGCCCATCCCAGGGGGTGCCCATCCCAGGAGGGGCATCAACCAGCCAGCACAGGGGGGGGTGTCAGGACCCTGCCCAGCTCGAGGGGCAGCCGGGCAGGGCCCCCCACCTGGGAGAAGTCGTGGTGGTTGGCAGCGCCCAGGGCCTGGTTGGCCGCCTCCAGCAGCTCCTCCGAGCTCTCCAGGGCCTTGGAACACGCGGTGAGCTGGGCCTGGGAATGGGCAGGGAACAGGGAACAGGGAAGGGGTGGGAGGTGGCTGAGGGTGCCCACAGGGGGGGCACAGGGGGGCACGGGGGGGTGTGGTGCCCACCTGCAGCTCGTAGGTGCGGCTGGCGCGCTCCTGCTTGATCTTCATCACCATGTCCTCCTTGAGCTCGTCCAGCAGCGAGTACAGAGACTGGAACTCAGCCTCCAGGTCCTCCTGTGCCCGCGTCGAGTTGGCCTGGGCACAACCCACCCCCCCAGCCGGGGCATCAGCAAGGGGACACCCCACCCAGGGGGTACCCAGGGGGCACAGAGGTGCCATCCCACCCAGGGGACAGGGAAGTCCCATCCCATACCAGGGTGCCCACAGGGGGCAGGGAGGTCCCACCCAGGGGGGTCCCCAGGGGGCAGGGAGGTCCCACCCCCCCCGGGGGGTCCACAGGGGGCACAGAGGTGCCATCCCACCCAGGGGGGTGCCCAGGGGTTACGGAGGTTTCATCTCAGCCCCGGGGGTACCCAGGGGACAGGGAAGTCCCATCCCATACCCGGGGGTCCACAGGGGACAGGGAGGTCCCACCCCAGGGGGTCCCCAGAGGGCACAGAGGTGCCAGCCCATCTGGGGGGTGCCCAGGGGGCAGGGAGGTCCCATCCCACCCAGGAGCATCCCAAGGGGGCAGGGAGGTCCCATCCCACCCAGGAGGGTCCCCCATCTCCCCCAGTACCTCCACATTCTGGATCATCTGTTTGAGCGAGTAGATGAAGTTCTGTATTTCCTCATTCTTCACGGCGAGGGTGGTGATGATCTTCCGCAGAGACTCCTGCCCGGCACCCTGTGCCTGCAGTCAGCCCCCCGCGGGCACCCCCGGGCACCCCCCGCACCCCCCCGGACCCTCCCGGGGCGCGTCCCCGTCCCCACCGGGCCCGGCCGTGCCAGGAGCGGGGACAGGGCCGGGAGCTCCGGGCTGGAGGAGCCGCATGACTTGGCAAGTGCGTGTGTGTGTGTGTGAGGGCAGTGAGGGGACAGTCCCGAGCCCCCCGTCCCTCCTGAGCCCACTCCATCCCCTCTGAGCCCCCTCCATCCCTCCTGAGGCCCCTCCATCCCCTCTGAGCCCCCTCCATCCCTCCTGAGCACCCCCCATCCCTCCTGAGCCCCCTCCGTCCCTCCTTTGCCATCCTCAACCCCTGCATCCCTCCATCCTCCGTCCCTCATCCCTCCTTC